CCTAATGCAGTGAGCCTTCAATACAGTTCCTCCTGTGGGACACCCCCCCCACACTTAGAATCATTTTTGTTGTTACTTCATAACTGTAATTTTGCTACTGCTATGGACTGTAATGTAAATATTTTTGGAAATAGAAGTTTTTCAAAGAGGTCCCACACACAGGTTGAGCCCCATTGCTCTAGAGGAAAATGCTTGCCATGTTTTGGTAAGTTTGTTTATTGGCAAAAGCAGTTACCTGTCAACAATTATTTTGTTTGTTTTTGAGACAGGGTTTCTCCGTGTAGTCCTGGTTGCTCTGGAACTCTCGGTGTAGACCAGGTTGGCCTCAAACTCAAGAGATCCACCTGCCCTGCCTCCCTAGGGCAGTGACTAAAGGTGTAAGCCACCACGCCTGGCTATCCTCCACTTTCCATTCTTAGGAAACCATACACTTGACAGCTGTAGCTCTTTTTTAGTATGCACATTCATAAAATGATGCCTTCACATACCATCACATCTTTCTTTGTATTCAGACCCCATCATTAGCTGTAAAGTTTTTAAATTTCTTTCCAACTCAGAGTAAGTATTTTGCATTTAGGGGATGTGTGCATGCCATGGCTGAGCCATCTTACTGGCTAGCTGTAAAACTTAACTGAAAAGCTTGTGTGAACAAGAACTACAGCAGAGGTCCATTCTCCCACTCCCCTGGGATGACTTCCCTTCTCAGTTACTCACGCCTCACTGGGGAGCCACTCAACCCATTGGGAAATACTGATTCAGCTTTTTCTTTTCAGAGATGCTGAGGATGCAATCTATGGAAGAAATGGTTATGATTATGGCCAGTGTCGACTTCGTGTGGAATTCCCCAGGACTTACGGAGGTCGGGCTGGGTGGCCCCGTGGTGCAAGGAATGGGCCTCCTACAAGACGGTCTGATTTTCGAGTCCTTGTTTCAGGTACGTTCTTCCCACATTGAAGGAGACGTGCATGTATGCTGCTTCTAAGAGTCTGGCCTCTAAGGAGTATTAGCTGTCACTCCGTATGTGGTGTGTGTTGGCTTCGCAGTAGCCAGTGTACCTGGACAGTCTAAAGCTTTGCTCTGGTTTCTCAGGGAGGCAGGTACTGTCAAATGAAATTGTACAAGTAATACAGCCTGTGGGACGGAAACTTGTCTCTTTTCCTGTTTGTTTGTTGTTTTTAAGACAAGGTCCCTATATAGTCAGTCCTGACTGTCCTGGAACTAACTCACTGTGTAAACCAGGCTGGCCTGGAATTCAGAGATCTGCCTGTCTCTGCCTCCTAAGTGCTGGGATTTAAGGTGTGTGATACCATAGCTAGAATTCCAAAAATGTTTTTCTTTGGGAATATTCCTTGGTATCTGGGTTTAAAGACATCACAGGAGCCAGGTTCAAACACCTTAGAGTCTTGGGGATTGCATTTGAGAATCACGGAACATCTATAAGTGGATATAATGCTAAGACGTTTACATGTCTTTAACATATCAGTGCAGTGTTAAGACCTGGGGCCTTCTGCACGATGCAGGGGAATTTGGGGCCCGAGTGGAGTGAAGTGTACTGAGCTTAGCACCTGTTGAAGTGTGAATGTCCCACAGTCCAGTGGTGCAGAAGAGTGATGCTGTCTGTCTGTCTGTCTTGTATCCCTTTGTGATTTTTTAACCCTAGGACTCTATTCCCTTCTTCAAGATGTCATACATTATCTTTTTTTCTCTCCACGCTGCTCTGAAACCCTGCTTAGAAAACTATTAGGAAATGGCTGCAGTCCTGAGCTGTCAGCGGTAAACACAGCCTTTGAGCGCAGGAGTACATTTCCCTTTCATGCCATCAGGTAGGGTCCTATGACTCCCAGCGAGCCTTAGCCTGAGTGTTGCCTTTCCCCAACTGTATGAGGAATGGTGGTGATCCCTTATGAGGTACTTTGTGGTCTGTCAACTGTTCATGGCAGTAGAAAACAAACTTTGCTGTTGGCGTTGTGCTGTTCCCTAAGCTACACTTGGTTTGTTTCAAAATTCCCATGTCTCTGGAAAGTAAGTCAGCAACAAATACTTGGTACTAATAAATTTCATAATGAAAACAAAACAAAAAAAAAACAAAAAAAACAAAAAAAAAAAAAAGGAACTCAGTTTTGGAAGTGTCACATTGATTGTGAAGGACAGTGGTAAATTCTCAGAGGAGCCTGTAACAGGATGTTTTGTTGGGAAACTCTGGTCTCTGGACAGTTAATCTAGACTAGTTTCTCGCAGTGCTTTACCATATGTAGCTAAGTGTATTTCTCTGGTCCGTGCCCCTTATAAAGATTTGTGACTTGGGAACCCTTAAGAATGAAGTGGTCCACAGAGTATAGACCACCTTGGGTGTGGCTAGCTCTTAACTGGGCAGTTATCATGGCTGAAGGGTGTGGCTCTTCTCTCACATTCTCTGCACCTAGGACTCCCTCCATCAGGCAGCTGGCAGGACCTGAAGGATCACATGCGCGAAGCTGGGGACGTCTGCTATGCAGACGTGCAGAAGGATGGCATGGGGATGGTTGAGTATCTCAGAAAAGAGGACATGGAATACGCTCTGCGCAAACTGGATGACACAAAGTTCCGCTCTCACGAGGTAGGTTTACCTTCCGTCAAGTCTAATTTAGCAGTAGTCCAGCAACAGGTCATGCCTTTGCTATTTGATGACTTCACAGTACTGTTAAAGATCTATCTGCAGGGTTAGGGCTGGAGAGACGGCTTGGGTGTTAAGAGCACTGGTTGCTCTTCCGGCACCCACGGGGCTGCTCACAACTGTGCTGTGTGTTTGTGTGTCTGTAACTGCACTTGCAGCCTACCTGTATGACAGACAGACCTGTATACAGACAGATGCATGCAAGCAAAACACCAATGCACGCACATTTTTAAAAGTATGGAATAAAGGGTTTTTTTGATTTTTTTTTTTTTTTTTTGGCTACTCCTAATTCCTGCAAGGTCAGAGCAGGGAGAAGCATGCATTTGGTTATCTTGATTTTCTTCCATTTTGAAATGGGAGAGTAAGGGTCCAAATAACACTGTGACACTTTAGTAAGATCACAGTGTTGGGCATGCAGCCAGTTTGAGCTGTTGGCTTTGCTTAGTATTGCTATTCTGATTCTCTACTTTTTCCTTTTGTGTTTGTTCAATTTTCAGGGTGAAACTTCATACATCCGGGTTTATCCTGAGAGGAGCACCAGCTATGGCTACTCCCGGTCCCGGTCTGGGTCCAGGGGCCGTGACTCTCCGTACCAAAGCAGAGGCTCTCCACACTACTTCTCTCCTTTCCGGCCTTACTGAGGAAGGCGCTGGGAAGTTTCTCTGTCTTTTTAGATGTGCTGAGCTACTTTGGGCTCAGAATCTACATTCCAGATTGATAATTTAGCGTCTTAGGAAATTTTTTTAATTTCTTTCTTTTTTTTTTTTTAAGGAACTACATAATTTCAACCAGGGCCACCATATTAGCAGTGGAATGTTTTAGACTGCAGAAATAGGAGTTGTGGCTCTTTTCAGAAACAAGTTGTATATTTTCCACCCTGATTACGGGACAGAAATCAGTGCTGCATCGTCTTTGTGGGCCGCTCTGCTCTGGAGACCAGCAGTTACGCTGACTGAGTCGCCCATTTTGTTTAGAAATATATTTTAAATGGTTTAGTGACTGGTGTATGGTTGTCTTTCAGTAAGCACATAGGTTGCACCTAGAAGGCACTGACTGAAATGAAGCATCATCTGCATTGTCACACCAGTCTGCCAGGGTTTCAACACCAAGGGCAGAGTCTGATTAGTTTTTATGCACTGTACACCACATGGGTGCCAATGACCACCGAGGACAGAAAGACCCTTGGAACTGGAGTCACAGGACGCTGTGGGCCACCCTGAGTTGACGTGATACTAGGAGCCTGACTCAAGTCAGACAGGAGACTAGGAGGTTCTTTCTTTCTTTCTTTTGTGAAATGGGTTCTCTGTGTACCCCTGGCTGTCCTTGAACTCACAGAGATCCACCTGCTTCCGCCTCCCAAGTAAGTGCCTGCTGGGTTTAAAGACATGTGCCATAGCACCTGTTTAGGAAGTTCTCTTAACCACTGAGCCATCTCTACCCCAGATTCAGGGCTCCTTCAATGCAACACTGACGCTGTCAATTAAACTGCCTGGAAAAGGAGTTGGTTGAGCTGGTGCATGCCTCTGTCACTGTACTTAGGAGGCCGTGGTAGGAAGGAAGAGTCAGCATTCAAGGCCAACCTGAGGCACAGAGGCCCTGTCTACACACAGAAAAGGTGTGTGTGAGAGGGAATGATGCAGATAAAGGGAAGAGGAAGAATGAAAAACAAGCCCAGGGCTATTTTTAACAAGTTCTTCTCAGAAAGAACTGTTGGCAGGCGTTCACAGATAGTGTGTGTGTGTGTGTGTGTGTGTGTGTGTGTGTGTGTGTGTAGCGGTCAGGTGCTCACAGACACTGTGTGTGTGTGTGTGTGTGTAGTGGTCAGGTGCTCACAGACACTGTGTGTGTGTGTGTGTGTGTAGCGGTCAGGTGCTCACAGACACTGTGTGTGTGTGTGTGTGTGTAGTGGTCAGGTGCTCACAGACACTGTGTGTGTGTGTGTGTGTGTAGCGGTCAGGTGCTCACAGACACTGTGTGTGTGTGTGGGGGGAGTCAGGTGTTCATACATAGTGTGTCAGGGAAGGGAGGGTGTTCATATACACCTTGTAGGGAGGGGTTGAGGACCCAAGTACTGTGGGTGGGAAGGGGATGGTGCTACTTCCCGAGAAAGGAAGATTCCCAGACTATTACTTGACACTACTCAAGCCTTCCCATAAAGTGAGCCCTCTGGTAGGGATAAAGTAGGTACTCAGGAACAAATGAACATGGTTGGCTGCTCAAGTCAGTGGAAAAGGGACTAAAAATAGCTTTTCTTACCTGGTCTCCGGCAATCTATCTCCTAAGTAGACACAGAAAAACTCACATGGATACATTTTGATAGTTTTTTAGGAGATGTTTGTCATACAGAATAGGCCTCTGAGTACTTGGTCGGTTTCCTTGGAAGCAGGCTTGTGGTGTTCTGTTAGCTGGGTGTTTTCCAGCTCTGCTGTCAGCAAGAAACCATCAATGTCCAGTTTATAATAGCTACTCTGCTGTGGGAGGAGGGGTCTTGTTTACCATGTCTGGCAAAGAAATATTACCTGTTTGAAAACAAAAAAAATTATAGTTCAGCCTGCTGTCCAGCTGGCCCTCCTAAACTATGGTCACTTGGTTTCCATGGAAACAGTGGAAGTAGATATCAGTGCCATCCCTTTCCCCAACTCAATCAAGTATCAGTAACAGTTCAAGTGAAGCCACACCCACAGTTCAGCGCAGAGACAGCTGTGCATAACTGGCCATGTATATGCAGGCAGGAGGGAAGACCAATGAGCCTCGGCGCCTGGGACCCAAGGCCATGTATATGCAGGCAGGAGGGAAGACCAATGAGCCTCGGCGCCTGGGACCCAAGTGTGGGGCAGGGCCCTGTCTGTGTCATGTGACAGTGGATATATTCGATAAAGTGGCAACCACTGAGGTTAGAAAAGTCTTTCTCTTTAGCTAGCTGAGGCAAACATGGCAGAGTTAAGAATGTAACCCATGGGTGGTGGTGCACACCTTTATTCCCAGCACTCGGGAGGCAGAGGCAGGCAGATTTCTGTGAGTTCAAAGCCAGCCTGGTCTACAAAGTGAGTTCCAGAACAGCCAGTGTTGGTATACAGAGAAACCAAAAGTTTAACCTCTAAGCTTGTTGGCTTGGCTCACCAGAGCGTTGTTTGTCGGCTGCCTGTCTTGGTGTCTGCTATGGGGATAAAAGGGGGGGTTGCTCAGGCTTCCATTTTAAGTGTGTACAGGGAGTTTGGAAATGGCTAAGATACATATGGTTTACAGGCATGTTTCAGCTGGCCAACATGACACATTAATTTTTCTTACTTGAACTGATTGCCAATGCAAACTGAGGAAATACCAGGACAAGATGTCATACGTTTAAGTACTCTAAGCAAATAGGCTCAGGTTCCTCTGGCACCAGGAGAGCACCAGGGAATGCCAGGCAGGGTTCCAGGCCAGGGAGATAAGCTGCCTGCTGCACACAGGCGCACTCAGTCCTTGCTGACTGGCCCCTAAAGGTGAGGATGGCTCCTGAACTACTGTTATCGTAAGCCACCACCACTTGTGTGGGTTATCCTTTTTCCTTCAGTGCGTCTCAGTGACGATGTCTGACTGCTCCGGGTAACGCATACCTGGGGGCGCCACGAAGTACTCCTCCACCACGTAACGGGAGTTCCGTAGCAGCTCTCCAGCACACCCGCCCTCTGCTACCCTGTCAGACCTCAAGTAGAGACACCTGCAAAACCCACAGCTTGGAGTTACATTAGAGCACACAGGCTTCCAGAGAGGCAGGCCCAAAGAGCGACCTGCAGTCTGGGGGTCCCCCTGGCCACTGAGGTGAGCTGTAGTTATTCCCTGGGTAATTAGTATGAGCAGATGAATTTTGCTGAAGTGAAAGGGCAATCATGAAACAAGTGTATTAAATCTGGGCTGGAGTGATCTCAGTGCTCAGATGCCCTAGCTGCGCTTCCAGAGGACTTGGGATCAGTTCCCAGCACTTAATGGTGACTCACAACTGCCTATAACTCCAGTTCCATCCAGTTCCAGGGGATCTGATGCTTTCTTCAAAGGGTACTGCACACCTGTGGTACGTGTGTGTGTGTGTGTGTGTGTGTGTGTGTGTGTGTGTGTACAGGCACGCACCCACACACACACAAGTTTTAAACAAAGTATGTCAAAGATTGGTCAAGTGTCCCAGACTCTGCTTCACTGAGATGCATGTGCTCAACGTCAGTGATGTCACTGCCTAAGGAGACACAGGAAGTAACTGGATGGGGTGTGGAGGGGATGGAGGTTTTAACAGATGCAGCATGAATCCATGCAAGAAAACACAGCCACCTATAGGGATATACAGATGCCTGCCATTCAGCAAGATACATAATGAACAGTGGCATTAGGTGGTACATGCCAATAATGTGTGCACTTAGGTAGTTTAAGGTTAATGCCAATAGAGACTTTGTCTCAAAATAAAATACATCTTAATCCCAGCACTCAGGAGGCAGAGACAGGTGGATCTCTGTGAGTTTGAGGCCAGCCTGGTCTACAAGCTAAGTTCCAGGACAGCCAGGGCACAGAGAAATCCTGTCTTGAGAAAAAAAAATTATGAATATTTTTCTCTATGTGTACATCTAAAATATGTGCATTGCTTAGGTCAAGGCACTTGCCACCTGGCTTAACAAGCTGGTACACACATGGAAAGAGAATGGACTCCACCACACACACACACACACACACACACACACACACACACACACTGTAATTAGGTGATGGCACACTGCTTAACGTCCAACATTCGGGAGGCACAGGTGGGTGTGAGTTTGCAGCCTACATATTAAGCTCAAGGTAATAAGATTCTGTCTCAAAAAAATTCAAGTAAACATCTATGTTACAAACTAGTGAAACTAAATGGGAAAACCCTCAAACAGCTTCACTCTGATTTCAGAACATGAAAGTGACTTGCCACAATCAGCCTGCTTCTGGATACTCCTATTAAAAATACTCCACTCCCTGGGAGGCAGGCAGGCAGATCTCTGAGTTCAAGGCCAACCTGGTCTACAGAGCATGTTCAGGACAGCCACCCGAGAGACCCTGTCTCAACAATAAAAAGGAATCTGAACTCACTAGCAAAGGGGAGCTAACCCTAACAGAAGTACCCAACACAAAGCTAGACATTGCCATTCACGCTAAGGAACAGAGGGTTGGAATTGGTTCTAGGGCCTGGGTTTGGCTGCTCATACCCACAAGTGTGTACAACTCCAGTCCCAGGGAACCTTGCAGGCACCACCCTCTTCTGACCTCATAACAATAACACATTCAAGTCTGGCCTGGGGTGCTGGCGTTAATAAGGCCTATTTTTTTTTAAACCCTACACATGTCAAAATGACTAGTGGGATTCATTAACCTAAAACATGTAATTTCTGGGAAGAGATGCAGGCCACTGAATGCCAAGCGCACATTCCAGCCACCACATGCCAACTATTGTTTGTCTTTTTTTCCCCAACTCTTCTTTTTGGTTTTTTGAGACAGGGTTTCTCTGTGGCTTTGGAACCTGTCCTGGAACTAGCTCTTTTAGTAGATCTGGCTGGCCTCGAACTCACAGAGATCCACCTGTCTCTGCTTCCCGAGTGCTGGGGTTAAAGGCGTGCGCCACCACTGCCCTGCTCTTTAGGTACTCTTAGAAGTCAGAAAATACTGACTTTCAGGGAATTTTTTTTTTTTTTTTTTTTTTTTTTTTGTATGGGGCAGAAGTATGTACTGTGGTATGCATGTGGAGGTCAGGACAACTTGTTCGAGTCTGCTTTCTTCCACCATGTGGGTCTTCAGGGTCAAACTAAGACCATCAGGTCTGGCAGCAATTAGTGTCGCCCACTGACCCATCCCACCCTCAGGCTCCGTAGTACTTCTCTGCCCCAAACAAACGGATGGAACGTTCATTTAAGCATTTACCAAGTATTTACTCAGTGCTAGACACCAAAAATCATCAATGCATGGGACACAGATAAACAGGGGGAGGGGCAGAGAAATAACATTCAAGTAGATAAGTCGTGATTGGCAGCTCTTTTGAGTATCACCAGAATCACAAAGAACATAACTGTATAAAGGAACGAAGACTTAATGCAGTTGGCAGTTAAGAAGAAAGGAAGCTAAGTAGAAGAGTAAGTGAGCTAAAGAGCTGATTAAACAAGGGCTGCGGATTAAAAAGCAACAGGGAGGGAGAACCCAGGAAGCTAAAGGACAGGACAGTGCTGGCTGAGAGAAATGCGCAGGGACACTGACAGACGGTGGATTCCCTGCAGGCCACGAGGAAACTTATTTTGGCTCTATCAGAAGCAGTGACATTCCCTGAAGGACCTGGTAGGGAAAATGCTATCAGGTTTCTGCTGTGAAGTGCTTGCTGGATAACATTAGGCAGCAGTGTTAACCTCTCTGGACCCGAGCGGAGCGGCATCAGAGCAAAGGCCGGAAGGAACCAAAGGCTGGAAGGCGAGGACAAAAACAGGAAGCTGATAAAATTCACAGTCACTAAGACACTGGAAAGATGAAAGATGGCCCGGGGGTTAGCGCTGGTCACTCTCCCAGGGGAACCAGGTTTGATTGCCAGCACCCACTTGGTGGCTTACAATCAATCCAGTGTAACTCCAGTTCCAGTGGATTCTGAACCCGTTTCTGACCAGACACGTGGCATACAGACATACAAGCAGCCCAAAGCACACACACACACCTTCAAGCTAAGAATGGTTCTGCACACCCATAATCCCAGCACTTGAGAAACTGAGTAAGGACTGCAAGTTCGAGGCCAGCCTGAGATACATAAGCACGGTGGTTGGAAGGTGGAGGTATGAGGAGGATCAGTCATTCAAGGTCATCCTTAGCTTGTCTGGTCCACATGAGACCCTGTCTCAAAAGAAGTGAATAAAATGAGGAGACAAATGCTGTGTGTGATGATACGGGCCTATACACGGAACTAAGGAGGAAGCAGCTAGATAACCTTGGTTTCAAAGCTAACCCACGGCACAGCCAGATTCTGTTTCAAAAACAGATGGAACATAGCTTATATGTTATTTGAATATGCCGTACTAGCATATGAACTGACTTAAGAAGGTCTCCAAAATATATACTTCTTTCCGATATTTAACCTGATGATCAGGTGCAAACACCTTAGAGGGAATGAGCGTGCTTGCCGAGAAGCAGTTCCGGAGGCCAGAACAGAGCGAACAGCACGCGGAGAGGATGAGCAGGGGCCCTGGGGCCCTGTGAAGACGGGATTCGAAGGCGGTGACTGAGAAGCAGCGCGGATTTGTTCCTACTAACCCCGACACTAGGAAGGCTAGAGGAGTCCACGCGGGAGTAGCGGGATCGATCTGTCATGAGCTGGTGGGGACAGTGAAGGCATCCCACGGTGACCGCAAGTTCCCAGTCATGCAAAGGACACCGGAACGGCCTCCCCGGAGCATCCGGAGTTTACCTGTCCTCCAGGACGGACTCCAGGGGCTCCACCCCGTCGGTGTCCACGGCGTGCAGCTGATCAGCGAAGGCGATGGCTTTCTCCAGCCGGGCCACCGCCTCGCGGCTGCCGAAGTTCACCAGCGCCAGCCGCTGCAGGTGCTCGATCTTCGCGGCCGGCACCTTTTCCTGTGCTCCCGCTCCGGAAGCGAAGCCTCGGCCCCGGTGCAGGGGAGCCCCGAGACGCACCCGCACTGCCCGCGCCCACATGTCTTCGCTTCCCGGCCTCCGTAGTGACGAAGGCGGGGGCGACGCGCGCGCGATGCGACGACGTCAGAGTGCGCCGCCGCCGCCGCCGCCGCCGCCATCGCCATGAACAGCGTCGGGGAGGCTTGCACTGACATGAAGCGCGAGTACGACCAGTGCTTCAACCGCTGGTTTGCCGAGAAGTTCCTCAAAGGGGACGGCTCCGGGGACCCGTGCACCGCCCTCTTCAAGCGCTACCAGCAGTGCGTCCAGGTGAGCCTGCCCGCGGCCCGGCTCGGCCTTGCACGCGTGCCCTGCTTGCTGCGGAGCACCGTGGCATCCTGCGGCTCGTTTCCCTCTGGTGCTCTTCCTATGGAGTCGGCGTGCTCCTTCCGTGTGTGTGGACTCCGGGGGACTCAGAAACAGTGATTGGTGCCAATGCACCAGCGTCCGCTGACCTAGGTTGTCTCCGTTGTTGTAGGGGCGGAGTGTGCTGTCTTTAGACTGTTTGTTTTGTCATGATCGCTTTATTTGCCCGGGTTTTCTCCACCAATTCCCAGTTGCAGCGGGTAAGGTCTGATTCCAGACTAGTAGTAGATGCACTTTCACTAACTTAACCTACACAGCCTCTCATTCCCAGGAGCGATTTTTTTTTTTTTAGCCAATTCGCGGACAGTGAAGGTGCCTCAAAGTCTCGTAGCGGCTGGTGCTAGAATAGATTTGGACACTCGCTAAGACAAGGTAGTGAGTGGTACCTCCTGTCTCTGCCTCCCAAGAGCACGTGTGCATACCACCCAGGGCATTACCATCTTTCCGGTGGCGCTTTGTTAAACAATTCCGAGTCAGAGGCAGACAGATATGTGTGAGTTCCAGGCTTGCCGGGGCTACACCGTGACACCATGTCTCAAGTGTCCCTTGAGTTGTGGGTTTCAAACCTTTCCAGAAAGTTCACTTTGGTTTCCTTCTGTGCTATTCCACTGCAGGTACAAAAGATTAACTTTTATATTATTTTCTTCTTTCAGAAAGCAATAAAGGAGAAAGAGATTCCCATAGAAGGACTGGAGTTCATGGGCCATGGCAAAGAAAAGCCGGAAAACTCCTCTTGACCTGCCTGTCACTTGGGAAATGTCAGTCCATTGAGAGACCTCTGGATTTTGTCCGCTAAGACTGTGACACTAGTCAAGGGATGGAGGAGTTAAAAGGAGAGTTTTGTTTCTTCCTTTTTGGTATTCTCTCCTTTCTAAGGGCAGCTGTCACTCTGGCTCACTCTAAGACAGTTTGACTCTGCTGGCATCTCGAAGGGACTCCCTGTGCTACAATGGAAACGCTTCTGGGGATTTGGTTACAATACGTGGTTTGGAATCAGCCTTAACTGGTCCTTGGATGCAGATAATGATAAAGTGGTCACGATCACGCTTGCCTGGCAGCTTCTGCTGCAGAGGAACTGCATGGGAGTCATCGTTCATGTGCGCAGTCGGTCAGGACCTTTTTCCTCTCAGGGAGCTGATGCTCTGAAAAGGGATCTGGACACAACAGTTTCAATCAATCACTGCTTGGGAACTTGATTGTATTTTTATAATGACAGTTACAAATGCTGGCAGCCTGGGTTGGTGAAGTAAAGGACAGCTTTACTTGGCTCCTGCCTTAACAAGCAAGGAAGGTGTGAAAGCTTCAGAAATGACAAAATCATCACTTTGGAGCTCACAGAGCCAGCTCCTAGCTGCAGCACCTGGAGTGTCTGTGGAAGAATCACCTACATCACAGCCTCCATGTCGCCAGTTTTCAACTCCATGAATTAATGTCCATCTGCACATCATTTAATTGTGTCTGGCTGAGTGGAGGAGAGGTGCTAACTTATCTGCTTATCATACCCTAAGTCTGTAATCATGAAAATGGAATAAATTCTAAAATTCAGATTTTACTCTCTGCTGCTGGAACTGTGCACTTCATAGAACACTTATTACACATTTGCTTTGTAACTTGATGATTTGTTTAAGCGTTGGTGGCTGACACAGCATGTAGGTCAGGAATCTGACCTTTAGGCTGGCCCCCTGTCTCTGCCTTCAGCTTGCTGGGATTACACACATGCACTATGATACCCAGCTTGTATAAACAGCTTCTTTATATTTAATTTGACCAATCCTAATGTCATTCCAAAACATTTTACATTTACATTTTTAGAAAAGATATGGATGTAAAAAAAATGTATTTTTCCACTGGTTGAGGGTCACTGTCCAAGAGAACACAGACTGTTGAGACCCTGTGTGAGGGAAACCAGCAGGCTAAATAAAGTACACGTGTTCTAAACTCAGACTGGCCCCACCACCCCGCAAGAACACACCAGAACAGATTTTTTAACTTTTATTTTGGCAGTTTCATGTACCCAGGCTGGCCTCAGTCGGATAACATTTGCCCCCACTGTTGAGTGCTGGTATTTCGAATATGTTCCTCTACATCCAAATTTACAAACTTCTAAACAATTAATTTTATTTTATATGCATTGGTGTTTTACTTTCATATATGTCTGAGGGTGTGGAATCCCCTGGAGCTGGAGTTACAGCTGGAGTTGTGAGCTGCTTTGTGGGTGTTGGGACCTGAAACCGTTCTCTGGAAGAATTGTTAAGTGCTCTAAGCTCTGAGCCACCTCTTAAGAGAATTTTCCTCTGTATTTTTTGTTACGTTTTGTCTGTGCGTATGTACACGGAGTAGGTTCTCTGCCACCTGGGTCCTTGGAATCCAACTCAGGCCATCTGTCTTGTTACGTGCCTTTACCAGCTGAGCCATATCTATATCTATTTTTTGAGCAGTGGTCTCCTATAGTCCAGGCTGGCCTTTTTTTTTTTTTTTTTAATATATTGCTTTGGGGCCTGTCTCTGTCCTGGAATTGCTCTGTAGACTACGCTGGCCTTGAACTCTTGAGGTCTGTCTGCCTCTGCCTCCCAAGTGCTGGGATTAAAGGCTGGCCTTGAATTTAATGGATAGTTGAACATGACCTTGAACTCTGATCCTTCTGCACAACTCTCGAATGCTGGGATTTAGTTAAGATCACACTTGACTTATGTGCTGTGGGGGGGGGGGGTCAAACCCAGGATTTCATGTGTGTAATCTTTACCCCCAGACCATTTTTTGTTCTTGTTTCCCCTATTTATGTGTATGAATATTTTGTTCACATGCAAGTATGTGCCTGTTGGATCCCCTGGAACCATTATGTGAGTGCTGGGAACCGATCCCAGGCCCTGTAAGAATAAGCACTCTTAACCATTGAGCCATCTGTCCAGCCCCCATTTTTTTGGTTTTAGGCAAGATTTCCTGTAGCCCGGGCTGGCCTCAAACTTGGCATGTAGATGAAGTCTTGCTCCTTTTGCCTCAACCTCCCATTGCAAGGATTACAGGTGTGTACTACCATACTGGGACCTCTGAAGAGCAGCCAGTGCTCTTAACCTGTGAGCCATCTCTCCAGCCCTAGTTCCAGAGAGTTTAAGTCCATGATCATCCTGTCAGGAAGCATGGCAGCTGACTGGAGGGCATGAAGCTGGAGTACAGGCAGAGAACTTGGATCCTGCTGCACATGCACAGAGCTAACCAGGAATGGTGTGGTTTTTGAAACCTCAGCCCGTCTGCCCCCAGTGACACTGCCCTCCAGCAAGGCCATGTCCCCAACCCTTCCCAAACAGTTCGTCATGTGTACATGTGGATGTAGGTTCTGGGTATGGGACTCAATGTCAGACTCGTTAGCAAGACCCACCAAGTCTACCAGCTGAACCACCTCAAGGGTTCTCCCCTTTAGGACAAGTCTGGACTGCAGCCTAGACTAGCTATGAACTATGGCAGTCCCCTGACAGACTCCTCCCAAAGCCCTAGGTGTTATAATGTGCACCACCATGGCCTTTCAGTCTTGTTTTGAGGGGTGGGTGGGTGATGGTGATCACTTTCGGCTTAGATGACAAAGGCATTCAGTCCTTAACTTTCAGAATAGTCTTAAGAACCCCTGAAATAACGAGATGGTGGTGACATACACCTTTAATCCCAGCACTCAAAAGACAGGCAGATGGATGTCTGTGAGCTCAAGGCCAGCTTAGTCAACAGAGTGAGTTCCGGGAGAGCCAAGGATACACAGAGAAACCCTGTCTCTAAATACAAACAGGAAGTCATGGTGTGGCGGTGTGTAACACAAAAACTAAACGACCCAGAGACTGACACGGGGGTTGGGTCTGTGTGGCTAAGCGGACCTGCCACTTGCTCTTTTGCCCAGCCCTTGACATCATCACAGGCCCTGTATGGGTGGAAGCAGCAGCCACTCTTGACCTTTCAGGGTGTCAGGGAGCCCATCCCAATAGGTAACTGCTCTGTGCTGTTGGCTTACCCACCCTAAGCATGAGAAAGCAACACAGAACCAAGCATAAACTGCACTCGGCAGGCTAAACTAGGTCTGAAGTACTGTAAACGAGCAAAGTAATAGCATTTCTGAGAATAAACAAAGATGTCGACATCCAGCTTTAAGTTATTTATTCAAGCCATCTCCTCTTACAAGCAAAGGGATGGTGGAAGATCGGTGTAACTGTCACCGATTTGATACAGGAAAGGTGAGCTTAGTGCCCCATGCGCTTCCTGGTCCACACAGAGTAACGGTCCAAAGCAGTGCTGTGGTCCCTTGTTGCCTGGGGGAACGGCCTGGGTTCTCTTTACTCATCTTCATAGCCAGTCGGAAGTGGGTTCACATGAGGGTTGTGGAAGAGGGTATGGTTACCATCTCCCCAGGGGAAGGGCTGTGAAATGAAGATGTCAATTAGATGATTCCAGACAATACTCACAATTTGGCACAAACTGCTTGAAACATGATACATAAAATCAAAATGAAAACCAGTTTTTTAACAGTACAATTTCAATGTTTCCACAGCCTTTCCCCTTAGATTTATTGATTTGTGTATTTTATGATGAGTGCTCTGTCTTCATGCACACAGAAAAGGGAATAAGATTACAGATGGTTGTGAGCCACCATGTGGTCGCTAGGAATTGAGCTCAGGACCTCTGGAAGAGCAGCAGTGGAGAGCCGTGGCTCCAGCCCCCAGCTTTTCCATAACTGAAGTGTGTTCTAATAGACAGTAACAAAAGCAAGCTCCAGACGGCTACTTGGGGAAGGAGACAGCTCTGCAGCAGGTACTGTACTGCGTTTCAACAGCGCCCAAGCCTGCCCCCCGCACCCACACGAGGCGGCTATTAACTGCCTGTACTGCAGCCCTAGGGATCTGAAGCACTCCCTGGCTTCCTTGGGCATGCACACATTTAAATTTTTTTTTTTATTTATTTTTTTTTTTTTTGTCGAGGCAGGGTTTCTCTGTGTAGCCCTGGCTGTCCTGGAACTGTCTTTTGCTCTTTTGTATACGAGGCTGGCCTCCACCTCACAAGACACACCTGTCTCTGCCTCCCGAGTGCTGGGATTAAAGGCATGTGCCACCATGCCCAGGTTTTTTTTTTTTTTTTTTTTTAAGTTACCACTGAGCCATCTCTCCAGCCTCTTCCCACTATGTTTGGAAAGCGCTGCTCTAGGTCAGTGGCTCACAATCATTCTTCGGTTTTTCGAGACAGTCCCACTTAGCCCAAGCTAACCTCGACTTCACAATGTACCAGAGAATGACTCTGGGCTACTGACCCCCTTGTGCTGAGATTACAGACCCGAGCTAGCACCCTGGCTCCCAGGGCAGAATGTGCAGCATCATATTCCGACATTCAAGAGGGGGTGGTACTGCCATCTAGTGGCAGAGCCCAGGGCAGGATGCTGTCAAACACCGTTCCCTCCGTCCTTCCTCTTCCCCTCCACAAGAGAGGCCCTCACTGAACAGCTCTGGCTGTCCTGGATCTCAGAGATCCACCTGCCTCTGCCTCCCGAGTGCTGGGACCAAAGGCGTGCGCCACCACCGCCCGGCCTCGGTGACACAGTTTTTTAAGGAACAAGAAGACGCCTTGTTGAAAGGCATCAAGTGACGGACACCAGACCGGGAACAGGCAGTCGGGTCGTTAGGCCCCCAGCATGCCAGATGCCGAGATCTGGAATCACCGTCAGAGCTCGCCGCTCTCAAAGGACACCCCAAACGCCCAGGCTTTCACGCACAAAACGGCTGCTCCTGAGCTGCACCGGGAGACAAGGCGTGCCATTTACCGGGGGACAGGAAGACCAAGGCGCGCAGACGGTGTGACCTTTAAGTTGAGGCGTGTGCCACGGGCTGGCTTCCTCCCCGCAGGCACAACGGGAGCAAACAGAACGTTTCTGTTTGCGCGGAAAGGCAGCCGAGGCCCCAGCCGGGGCGGCGCCCTGCACTAACGGGATCGGGCCCGGCACTAACCGGACCCGGCCCTGCACTAACCGGGGCGGCCCTGCACTAACCGGATCCGGCCCTGCACTAACGGGATCCGGCCCTGCACTAACCGGATCCGGCCCTGCACTAACGGGGACCCGGCCCTGCACTAACGGGGGTCTGGGGATCCGGCCCTGCACTAACGGGGATCCGGCCCTGCACTAACGGGGGTCTGGGGATCCGGCCCTGCACTAACGGGGATCCGGCCCTGCACTAACGGGGGCGGCCCGGCACTAACGGGGATCCGGCCCTGCACTAACGGGGATCCGGCCCTGCACTAACGGGGGTCTGGGGATCCGGCCCGGCACTAACGGGGATCCGGCCCTGCACTAACGGGGATCCGGCCCGGCACTAACGGGGATCCGGCCCTGCACTAACCGGATCCGGCCCGGCACTAACGGGGATCCGGCCCTGCACTAACCGGATCCGGCCCGGCACTAACGGGGATCCGGCCCTGCACTAACCGGATCCGGCCCTGCACTAATGGGATCCGGCCCTGCACTAACCGGATCCGGCCCTGCACTAACGGGATCCGGCCCTGCACTAACCGGATCCGGCCCTGCACTAA